CCCTGCAGACCCCTGAAGAAGAACGAAACCTGCTGCATGCCGATAGCAACGGTTACACAAACTTACCTGACGTGGTCCAACCCAGCCACTCGCCCACCGAGAGCAGCAAAGGCCAGAGCCCCCCCTCCAAGGAGGGCGCCACTGATGTAAGTGGGCGTGGGGGCCAGAGGGACTGACCGTGGGCAGGGGCCTGCGAGGCACTGTGCCGGGGAGCCTGCTCGGACCCTGAGCCCTGGCACACCAGCAGGGAGGCCGGGCTGGGCTCTGCCTTCTCCTCTGACTGCCGCCTCCCTCCTCCTAGTACCAGTCTCGTGGGCTGGTGAAGGCCCCCGGCAAGAGCTCCTTCACCATGTTTGTGGATCTTGGCATCTATCAGCCTGGAGGCAATGGGGACACCATCCCCATCACAGGTGAGGGTGGCAGCTGGAGGGTTGGGCCCGGCATCCTGACACCGAGCTAGAAACACCATCCAGGCCCTGCCTCTGGGCCCTGCCCTGGCCCCGTGACACTGCTGGGCAGCTGTGCTAGAGCAGCCGAGGGGCCTGGTGCAGTGGCGGATCTCAGGCTCTGGGTTCAGGGTTCTGTCCAGGCTTCTGTTCCTCAGTCGTTTCCTTTCCTTCCTTCTCAGCCCAGAGGGGCCAAGATCAAATGTGGGGACTGGGGGGCAGGGGTGAAGAAGGGAGCAGGCTAGGGGCCGCAGCCCAGCCACCTCTCCTCTGCCCACAGCCCTAGTGGGCGGAGAGGGAAGTCGGCTCGATCAGCTGCAGTATGACGTGAGGAAGGGCTCGGTGGTGAACGTGAATCCCACCAACACCCGGGCCCACAGCGAGACCCCTGAGATCCGGAAGTACAAGAAGCGGTTCAATTCCGAGATCCTCTGCGCGGCCCTTTGGGGTAAGCCAAGGCTGTCTGGGAGACCAACGGGGCCCTGGTGGGGCTCCCGTGCCCCCGGTCACATGAGGACCTGCCTCTGCTTCTTCCAGGGGTCAACCTGCTGGTGGGCACAGAGAACGGGCTGATGCTGCTGGACCGCAGCGGGCAGGGGAAGGTGTACGGGCTCATTGGGCGACGGCGCTTCCAGCAGATGGATGTGCTGGAGGGCCTCAACCTGCTCATCACCATCTCAGGTCTGTGTGTGTGTG